TTACGACTCCAAGTAACGCTTGTGCCCATTACTAATGAAAGTGCCTGCTTTAGCTCATTATCCAAATCAGTGTAAGCACAACTATAGTAATCGCCTATCTAAAGACAGATGCATCACTCTGATGCGGGTGAAAGAAGTACAGTTAAGAAGTACAGCTAAGAAGTACAGCTAAATGTCGATAATACATTTTTGCCTGTTGCTTTCAAGGCTGACTATCAAGCTGTGCCGTGATGCCTATTGATCCTGATGTGTTGACATCAAAATTCTGTGGCAATGTCATTATAATTCCGCCTACTGTAAAATGTTATTTTTCCTGAGAATAAAGAATAAAATTAGATACAGCCTGGTAAGACGTTTTGTATTCTAAAACAATTTTGAACACTCCAAAAAATACATTTGACTGTAATGTTCCTACAGGCCTCCATTTCAACAAGTCTGTCTTTGTCTATGAAATAATCCCAACATTGCTGCACTCTACAGATTTCTGTTTAAAAATAGTGGAGGAATGAAACCTTATCGTTTCAAATCTGGAGTGCATTTTGAAATATGAAAAGGTGAACCAGAAGAGTATTTGAAATGGGTCTTGGTGCAATTGGGGGTGACATGTATTCACAGACATATCCAAAACGCAGGCACCTCAAGTCATGCTAGCATGTCCCGTCATACAATGGTGTAGTGTGCTCTAGCCCACCCTTCAGACCCCCGGTTTGTTATTCCTGTATGCGATACTGTACACTGGAGCAGGCTCAGAGAGCCAGCATGATTGCTTAAGGAAACCAGAAAGAGTGGAAGGGCGCCTGCTCAGCGATGAAACAGAGGGCTGTTTATCCAAGCCATTAAATAAGGCTTCAAGTACAACACCCTCCCCTCCAACTCCCCAGCCCCCAAATCTCTCTCATCTGGAGAGCACAGTTTCCATTTAAAATGTCATATCCCAAACTGCACATTACATCAAATTGTACTTAATGGCATCCAGACTAACTTTAATGTTGTTCCAAAATTCTCTCTGCATAACCCCCTCTCCCCTCGCTATATTTTCTCCCTAGCTCATATAGCCATACAAGCAATCTCTCTCTTTCTCTGTTCCACGTCTGGACTCCATTCCAGGTTGAATATAGTGAGAGGGGGAATGGAGGAAAGGAAAGGTAGAGGGACCAGCTGAGATGCTATTGATCTGAGGAGAGAAGAAGTGAGATTCAGTGTTGAAAGAGATTGGGTGGATGTGAGGTCAGGTTGGAGGAGGAATGTGATGATTTCCACTGGCTCTTCCCTCTTCCCTCTTCCCTCTTCCCAATCTCACGTTACAACAATACAATGAGCACCTTCGTCTTCAAAGAGGCGAATACAATCACAGGTTTGTAAAGATGTAATGAAACAAATGTATTAGTTAAGGTATATTCAAGGAAATAAGGTACCAATCATCTTATCGTTACTATCAGTGGAGGCAAAACTCCAATAGTGAGGAAAACATTACACTATAATTAATACTAAACAACAAACTACTAGACTACTCCTGTACTGTATCATCATGAAGTCTGATGTTCCTTTCTTGAGGAAGCTATGACATCTAGTGGTGGAGTCAGCATTGAGGCTGCTGAGGGCTGACATCCATGCCAAACTCACAGGGAGGAAATCAGTAAAAAGTATGATACAGTAGCTTACAATATTTGAATGTAACGGATTGCATCCACTTTTGTGAAGTAGTTGTTCTTTTAAAATGATTTACTTAGGTGTTTGTTTTATAACTCCTACTACACAGAATCACGATACTGTGTTGTAAACTCCAGTACGATACATACCATGGATGATACTTGGACAGCCTCAGTACAGTGCAGACTGAAGTGTGACAATGTGGCCCCCTTCTGGAAGAAAGATAAAACAGCAGAACCTGTGAGAAACAGTCGTAAGAATAAATGACAGACTGAGCGGTCTCTGTGCTAGTCGTGCCCAAAGTAGTGCTTTAAAGCTTACTACCCTCAAGTCACAGTCATTTTATGTGTGGGATCATGAAAGCAGATATTTTATTTGACTCACTGAGATTCACCTTTTTATTTGAGGAAAGGTAATATGTGTTTCCATGAGATTTGCATCACTGTTCAGCCACATGAGTCATATATAATCATGGTTACTTGGCCACATGGTTCATGCAAAAGGTCTAAGGATATTTTAGCCTACATACCTTACATATTACTTACCAGCTTGAGATCCATTTTAGCATCTAGGTAACACAAAATGACCAATTCAACTCAATACACTTTTTCAAGTGCATCAAAATACAATTTATTCTTACAAAGCATCATGCAAAAATCTCAGCTCCTCACCAAGTTATAGAGAATAGAAGACTTACTTCCAAGCTCTTCATATAATTTCTGAATGTTGTTCCCAATACAGCCAGGTTATAGCACAACATAACCTGACCCTGTCCAGGATTAATTCCCTGTTAAAGAGACATGGAGGTGGCACCAGTAGGTCAGATGTCCCCATCTATAGGATGATCAATAGCCTTCAAACTCAACTCTGGACCTCGAAGCCAGTTCCACTGCATTTTTCCTCTAAGCAGGGCCTGATTTAGACCTGGGACACCAGGTGTGCAATTCATTATCAGGTAGAACAGAAAACCCTCGTAGGGTAAGAGTTGAGTACCCCTGATCTATAGGATGAGGAGGATGGGCCACATGATGTCTATTGTCCAGGGAACTGGAAGGTTTAGCCAACATTACATACTTTTCAAGAGCATAAGCTGTTGGCTGATACAAATGTGTGTAGCATAGATAACTGTACAAAAGGCCAAGACGCATGTAGTTTTCCCCTTGCAATAACAGTACCAGTCAAAGGTTTGCACACACCTACTCATTCAAGGTTTTTCTTTATTTTTACATTGTAGAATAATAGTGAAGACATCAAAACTATGAAAGAACACAAATGGAATCATGTAGCAACCCAAAAAGTGTTAACCAAATCAAAATATATTTTAAATGTTAGATTATTCAAAGTAGCCACCCTTTGCCATGATGACAGCTTTGCACACTCTTGGCATTCTCTCAACCAGCTTCACCTGGAATGTTTTTCCAACAGTCTTGAAGGAGCTCCCACATATGCTGAGCACTTGTTGGCTGCTTTTCCTTCATTCTGCGTCCAGCTCATCCCAAACCATCTCAATTGGGTTGAGGTCGGGGGAATGTGGAGGCCAGGTCATCTGATGCAGCACTCCATCACTCTCCTTCTTGGTCAAATAGCCCTTACACAGCCTGGAGGTGTGTTTCGGTCATTGTCCTGTTGAAAAACAAATGATAGTCCCACTAAGCGCAAACCAGATGGGATGGCGTATCACTGCAGAATGCTGTGGTAGCCATGCTGGTTAAGTGTGCCTTGATTTCTAAATAAATCACAGACAGTGTCACCAGCAAAGCACCATCACACCTCCTCCATGCTTCACGGTGGGAACCACACATGCGGAGTCTCACAAAGACACGGCGGTTGAAAAAAATTATCATATTTGGACTCATCAGACCAAAGGACAGATTTCCACCGGTCCAATGTCCATTGCTCGTGTTTCTTGGCCCAAGCAAGTCTTTTCTTCTTATTGGTGTCCTTTAGTAGTGGTTTCGTTGCAGCAATTCGACCATGAAGGCCTGATTCACGCAGTCTCCTCTGAACAGTTGATGTTGAGATGTGTCTGTTACTTGAACTCTGTGAAGCATTCATTTGGGCTGCAATTTCTGAGGCTGGTAACTCTAATGACTTATCCTCTGCAGCAGAGGTAACTCTGGGTCTTCCTTTCCTATGGTGGTCCTCATGAGAGCCAGTTTCATCATAGCGCTTGATGGTTTTTGAGACTGCGCTTGAAGAAACTTTCAAAGTTCTTGAAATGTTCCTTATTGACTGACCATGTCTTAAAGTAATGATGGACTGTCGTTTCTCTTCACTTATTTGAGTGGTTCTTGCCATAATATGGACTTGGTCTTTTACCAAATAGGACTATCTTCTGTATACCCCCTCTACCTTGTCACAACACAACTGATTGGCTCAAACGCATTAAGTTGGAAAGAAATTCCACAAATTAACTTTTAACAAGGCACACCTTTTAATTGAAATGCTTTCCAGGTGACTACCTCATGACTACCTCATATATATATATATATACACACACACACACACACACACACACATATATACACACACACACACACTATACCAAACATTAGGAACACCCCCCCCCCCCCCCAACTCTCAGAACAGCCTCAAGTCGTCGGGGCATGGACTCTACAAGGTGTGAAAAGCGTCCCACAGGGATGCTGGTCCATGTTGACTCCAATGCTTTTCACAGTTGTGTCAAGTTGGCTGGATGTCCTTTGGGTGGTGGACAACTCGTGAAAAACCCAGCAGTGTTGCAGTTCTTGACACACTCAAACCGATGCGCCTGGCACCTACTACCATACCCCGTTCAAAGGCACTTAAATCTTTTGTCTTTCCCATTCATCCTCTGAATGGCACACATACGGAATCAATTGTCGCAAGGCTTCAAAATCCTTCTTTAACCAGTCTCCTCCCCTTCATCTACTCTGATTGAAGTGGATTTAACAAGTGACATCAATAAGGGATCTTAGCTTTCACCTGGATTCATCTGGTCAGTCTATGTCATGGAAAGAGCAGGTGTTCTTAATGTTTGTTTACTCAGTATGTATGTATGTATGTATGTATGTATGTATGTATATGTTTAAAAAAAGAGCAACCTTAATTTGATGTGTTTTTATTAACTGTGACATAAAAATAACAGAGTGTTGCTCTCTGGGTGCTGCTGTGAAGAAACAGAATATACAGTAATAGCATCAGCAAACCTCTTCACACTAAAAAAGAAATACAAGTCATGCAACCCTGTGCCCACACATGCCATTAGACGTCCTATGATATGGTACTGTATATTGTTCTATCAAAGAAACATTCACAAAACATTATTATTTGTATTTATATATATATATATATATATATATATATATATTGTATCTTTATATTCCCTTATTCAACAAAAAGCAATGAGAAGGTAAGTAAGTATTTCATAATTCCAACTAAATTGCAAAAGGAAACCAAACAGGCGTTTGGCCTGAGAGCTGAATCCACTAAAAACTTTCAATAGTGATACCAATAGCAGGGGGAAATGGCAGCAATTCAGGCACTTATTAAACCATCACTTCAAAAGGAATTATCGGAACTCTTGCTCAAGTTGAATCACACACACAAATGCACACAACCACAACTACAGTACAAACTTTGACGTAGATGAAATTTCACCCTTTGTAATTTGTCTTCTGTTTTTCAAATACCATGTAATTCAAATGAAGAGTTGGTTTCCATTCTTCCGAATGGGTCAGCAGGAGATTCAATGTGGTTTAAAGGATTAAATGTTGCGCTCCATCATTGATCTGATTCATACACCAGCAGGAAACCAGTCCTGTTGTCTAATAGGTTGGTGTACAGTGGTCTGAATAAGATACAGCTGTACATTAGAGCTAACAATAAACCTATAAAAGGGCTAAACCAGGAGGGCCTGGGAAAAGACCATGGAAAATAAAAAGTTCCATCCAAACCTCATCCAATTACAGGAAAGGTAAGTAACTGAATGCTATAACTGCAGAGTATAGTTAAATGCAATAGAAATGGCGCAACCTCTGAAGTGTTGGCCCCCCCACTCCCGTTCCCCAGCCCATGGTCTATTGCTGTGAGTCAGTAGAGTTGGGGTGCCAGCCCTCAGGGTCCTAGGGAGGGGAAGCTGGGTGCCACGGAGCCTCAGTGGCGGGGCGAGATGGTGGCACGCGGGGCAGTGCCAAGGCCCTGGTAATTCTCGTGGGCATGCTTCTCACAGAACATCTCCTCTCCCACCCAGAAGTGACCTCGCATCTTCAGGTTGAGACCACACTCTGGTGTAGAACAGGTGTAGCACTCTGGGTGGCGGAAGCGGTCGTCCATAATGCGCACCACCTGTGTACTGCATACAGACGGGCACAGTCATAAACACAAACATTATTTCAGAATCTTTTAATCTTTGTACATTATGTACACAAACACTGTAGGAAGGTTTATTAATTCAGCTCCTCTGTGTTTATGAGGAACATCCTGCACCTTAGGGCAAGTTATCATTGTCAGGGCTTGTATTTGGCAGCTGCTTATTAATCTGTTACGCAATGACACTTCAAGTTACTCCTGTGGACAGAGAGAACATGTCACAACAGGTGACGTGTCATTATGGGCTCTTACACAATGCTGGTGCCACACTTCTCACAGGTGTGGTACTTGGGGACTCCGCCCCCGGGAGATGTGGGTTTTGGGGGGGTGGGTTTGGGGGAGAGCCCTGGGAACCGCACGGCTGCCTCTGCATAGAACAACAGAATAGAGCACAGTCAGTCAGAGCCAATAGCAGATGGATTCCCATTCACACACACACAGCAGGGAATCAAGGCAGAGTTATGCCTCTCTGTCAACCTGGTTATCACATCATTTCTTCTTCTTTACTGCCCTGTGTCAGGTCTGTCCTCCCATAGCAGACAGTGCTTGTCTGAACACCACTAGTTTATGACCCGGTGTGAACAGTGTCCACACGCTGGTAGTTATCGCTTCATAAAACTCTTATTACCAGCTCCGCTTGTTTTCTTTGCCAGTCCTCTAAGCAAAGTAAAAACAACAACACTCACACTGCTCTCCATTGAAAACAATGTTCTAAGTCAGCTCTGGGCCAGGTTATGGCCAGATGCATCTGTTGATATCAAATAACTGTCTTTGTAGCCAGACAGAATACAAGTTTGATGAAACAATTCAGTAAATTGGGGCACATTTTGTTGAATTTGACATAATGACCACTATCTACGAATGACCTCTATCCACCTCTGAGAATTGACATCCAGTAGACCCATCAAATAGGTTTCAAACGGGACGGAGATGAAAGCAAAGCACTTATGGCTCCAGTCCATCCCACACAGCTGTTTATTAGATGTGAACAGAAATGTAGCATGACACAGAAAGACTGAGTGATGAGGAGTGGGTTTATGGGAGGCTCTGCTCACCCTTCTCATCGGCCTCCAGAACCTCCTGCAGCATGCGGAAGGTGTTGGACTGTCGAGGGGCCGTGCGAGACTCCTTGTTCTCCTGGATCATCTTGTAGACCTCTGAATCCCGGTCAAACCTCTGCATGGCAAAGTCAGAGCTGGAACTGCTGTGGGAGAGAAAGAGAGGGGATGTAGCCATTACCTATTACGAAACCACTCCGATAAATAGACTATTCAGTCAATCCATATCTATGTACGTTCCATGTACAATCTAAGTCCTATCTACACTACCAGTCAAACGTTTGGACACACCTACTCATTCAATGGTTTTTCATTATTTTTACATTGTAGAATACTAGTGAAGAAATCAAAACTATGAAATAACACATATGGAATCATGTAGTAACCAAAAAACCAAAATATATTTTATATTTGAGATTCTTCAAATAGCTACCCTTTGTCTTGATGACAGCTTTGCACACTCTTGGAATTCTCTCAACCAGCTTCATGAGGTAGTCACCTGGAATGCATTTCAATTAACAGGTGTGTCTTTTTAAAAGTTTAATGCATTTGAGCCAATCAGTTGTGTTGTGACAAGGTAGGGGGGGTTTACAGAAGATAGCCCTATTTGGTAAAAGACCAAGTCCATATTATGGCAAGAACAGCTCAAATAAGCAAAGAGAAACGACAGTCCATCATTACTTTAAGACATGAAGGTCAGTCAATACGGAACATTTCAAGAACTTTGAAAGTTTCTTCAAGTGCAGTCACAAAAACCATCAAGCGCTATGATGAAACTGACACTCATGAGGACCACCACAGGAAAGGAAGACCCAGAGTTACCTCTGCTGCAGAGGATACGTTCATTACAGTTACAAGCCTCAGAAATTGCAGCCCAAATAAATGCTTCACAGAGTTCAAGTCACAGACACATCTCAACATCAACTGTTCAGAGGAGGCTGCGTGAACCAGGCCTTCATGGTCGAATTGCTTCAAATAAACCACTACTAAAGGACACCATTAAGAAGAAGAGACCTGCTTGGGCCAAGAAACACGAGCAATGGACATTAGACCGGTGGAAATTAGTCCTGGAAATTTGTCTTTGTGAGACAGGGTGTTGGTGAACGTATGACCTCCGCATGTGTAGTTCCCACCGTAAAGTATGGAGGAGGAGGTGTTATGGTGTGGGGGTGCTTTGCTGGTGACACTGTCAGTGATTTTTTTAGAATTCAAGGCACACTTAACCAGCATGGCTACCAAAGCATTCTGCAGCGATACGCCATCCCATCTGGTTTGGGCTTAGTGGGACTATCATTTGTTTTTCAACAGGACAATGACCCAACAGACCTCCAGGCTGTGTAAGGGCTATTTTACCAAGAAGGAGAGTGATGGAGTGCTGCATCAGATGACCTGGCTTCCACAATCCCCCGACCTCAACCCAATTGAGATGGTCATCTCCCGAGTGGCGCAGTGGTCTAAGGCACTGCATCGCAGTGCTAGCTGTGCCACTAGAGATCCTGGTTCGAATCCAGGCTCTGTCGTAGCCGGCCGCGACCGGGAGACCCATGGGGCGGCGCACAATTGGCCCAGCGTCGTCCAGGGTAGGGGAGGGAATGGCTGGCAGGGATGTAGCTCAGTTGGTAGAGCATGGCGTTTGCAACGCCAGGGTTGTGGGTTTGATTCCCACGGGGGGCCAGTATGAAAAAATATAATAATGTATGCACTCACTAACTGTAAGTCGCTCTGGATAAGAACGTCTGCTAAATGACTAAAATGTAAATGTAAAATGTAAGTCGGACGGCAGAGTGAAGGAAAAGCAGCCAACAAGTGCTCAGCAAATGGTGGAACTCCTTCAAGACTGTTGGAAAAGTATTCCAGGTGAAGCTGGTTGAGGGAATGCCAAAAGTGTGCAAAGCTGTCATGAAGGCAAAGGGTGGCTACTTTGAAGAATCTCAAATATATTTTGATTTGTTTAACACTTTCTTGGTTACTACATGATTCCATATGTGTTATTTCATAGTTTTGATGTCTTCACTATTATTCTACAATGTAGAAAATAGTAAATATAAAGAAAAACACTTGAATGAGTAGGTGTGTCCAAACCTTTGACTGGTAGTGTATGTAGCTACATTTGTACATTCCGTGTACGGTCGATGGTGTAATAACGTCCATATATGTTGAAGGTACATTGTGGAGGATTTATGTGTGATTGGTTTGAGATAATCCAGAGGGTCGTTCCATGTCATTTCAGCAAGCCATGACACCCACCATGTTAGCATCTGGTAATATCAGGATGTAGGATGGGACACAAACCTAACAACTTCAAATGACTAATTTCTCTAAACAGGGGGGGGGGGGGGGGACATAGCCAAATTCAATGGGAATACATTACATACATAGGATTAAGAAACAATACTCCGTGCTGCAGCTCCATACTACTTGTCAGACACAGAACTGATACTATATACTTGTTGTTGGGGTGGGATTGGCGTAGAGGGTCCCGTGGTTGGCTTTTGGCCATTCCCTTGGACTCCTCATGTCTAACTCATTGTTAGAAAAAGGTTTGGTCCAAATCGGATGTTAGGTCTATATTTACTGAATATGATGTGAATCTTATATACACTGCTCAAAAAAATAAAGGGAACACTTAAACAACACAATGTAACTCCAAGTCAATCACACTTCTGTGAAATCAAACTGTCCACTTAGGAAGCAACACTGATTGACAATACATTTCACATGCTGTTGTGCAAATGGAATACATTTACATTTACGTCATTTAGCAGACGCTCTTATCCAGAGCGACTTACAAATTGGTGCATTCACCTTATAGCCAGGTGGAATAGACAACAGGTGGAAATTATAGGCAATTAGCAAGACACCCCCAATAAAGGACTGGTTTTGCAGGTGGTGACCACAGACCACTTCTCAGTTCCTATGCTTCCTGGCTGATGTTTTGGTCACTTTTGAATGCTGGCGGTGCTTTCACTATAGTGGTAGCATGAGACGGAGTCTACAACCCACACAAGTGGCTCAGGTAGTGCAGCTCATCCAGGATGGCACATCAATGCGAGCTGTGGCAAGAAGGTTTGCTGTGTCTGTCAGCGTAGTGTCCAGAGCATGGAGGCGCTACCAGGAGACAGGCCAGTACATCAGGAGACGTGGAGGAGGCCGTTGGAGGGCAACAACCCAGCAGCAGGACCGCTACCTCCGCCTTTGTGCAAGGAGGAGCAGGAGGAGCACTGCCAGAGCCCTGCAAAATGACCTCCAGCAGGCCACAAATGTGCACATGTCTGCTCAAACGGTCAGAAACAGACTCCATGAGGGTGGTATGAGGGCCCGATGTCCACAGGTGGGGGTTGTGCTTACAGCCCAACACCATGCAGGACGTTTGGCATTTGCCAGAGAACACCAAGATTGGCAAATTCGCCACTGGTGCCCTGTGCTCTTCACAGATGAAAGCAGGTTCACACTGAGCACGTGACAGACGTGCCAGAGTCTGGAGACGCCGTGGAGAACGTTCTGTTGCCTGCAACATCCTCCAGCATGACCGGTTTGGCGGTGGGTCAGTCATGGTGTGGGGTGTCATTTCTTTGGGGGGCCGCACAGCCCTCCATGTGCTCGCCAGAGGTAGCCTGACTGCCATTAGGTACCGAGATGAGATCCTCAGACCCCTTGTGAGACCATATGCTGGTGCGGTTGGCCCTGGGTTCCTCCTAATGCAAGACAATGCTAGACCTCATGTGTCTGGAGTGTGTCAGCAGTTCCTGCAAGAGGAAGGCATTGATGCTATGAACTGGCCCGCCCGTTCCCCAGACCTGAATCCAATTGAGCACATCTGGGACATCATGTCTCGCTCCATCCACCAACGCCACGTTGCACCACAGACTGTCCAGGAGTTGGCGGATGCTTTAGTCCAGGTCTGGGAGGAGATCCCTCAGGAGACCATCCGCCACCTCATCAGGAGCATGCCCAGGCGTTGTAGGGAGGTCATACAGGCACGTGGAGTCCACACACACTACTGAGCCTCATTTTGACTTGTTTTAAGGACATTACATCAAAGTTGGATCAGCCTGTAGTGTGGTTTTCCACTTTAATTTTGAGGTTGACTCCAAATCCAGACCTCCATGGGTTGATACATTTGATTTCCATTGATAATTTTTGTGTGATTTTGTTGTCAGCACATTCAACTATGTAAAGAAAAAAGTATTTAATAAGATTATTTCATTCATTCAGATCTAGGATGTGTTATTTTAGTGTTCCCTTTATTTTATTGAGCAGTGTATTAAAATGGCCAATTTGGATGCACTCAATTAGCTTAACTTCTCAGAGATCAAACCATATTTCAACAAAATAATGTTGCAGGAATGCTAATCTTATCTGTTTTTAAAAGAAAATATTTCAGAACAATCTGAGCTGGTGGGTGTCGAAATCCTCTTTCTTGTGCTTTTTGAAGTGGAACAACCCCCGAGGAAATTAAGACAGTGGCAGCAGTCAACTTTGTGACTGACCTTCAAGCCCAAAGTCTACATTGCATACCGCAGGCAAGTCGCCAAAGCCAGCCTCTAATCTCAGTTTATACACTCACAACAGAGCTGGATCACCTTCATATCCATTTACAGCACGAACTGCTCTAGTGTGACAATGACCTGTTGTCAAAGGTAAAGAAGACATAATGAAAACGTCTGTGTAGAAGATCAAATGTTATCAACTAACTAGCATACATTACTGGTGTAGTGTTTGGGTATTGAGGTGAGGGCATTCCAGCGTATGGCTGCCTTTATAAAGCCAATCTTATTTCTAGTAAAGTAGCACTGTGGCTAAACCTTTCCAGATACCCACCACCACAGCAGACATGATTGGCCAAATAAAGTGGGGAATCCTGCTGTTTGACTCCAGGCATTTCTGGATGGAAAAATCACAGATGTGATATTTCTATAATGTACCACTATCCCTCTCTCTCACACAATCACTACATGTATGACCCACAAGAGCCAATGGGACACCTTTTAGCTTTGGAGTGCTGGTGGTGGGAAATAGTCTACAGAGAGTTGACACCTCAGGGTAGTTTCTCTGATGCCTAGCTAATTAGCGGATTAGCAGCAGCACAGTAGCACTGCACTTACAGGTTTATGCACATTCTTAGCCACTGGGGTGGTGGAATGGAAAAGTGGTTCACTTTATTGTTCATTCCATAGT